AATCGATATTTTTACTTTCATGATAAATTTTATGCATTTGGTTGTAGGCTAGGTTAACCCACATTACGTCTTTACTTTAGGCTTATTATACCAACACTCACTACACTTATAAGGTTTCACGGCACACACACACACCCTCACGATCCCCTTTCACCACGTTACAAAAATTGTAATGGGGAGATAGTAATCGACCTATTATATCTGGATAAATGCATTTCGGCTCCTCCTATTTCGAGAAATTAAGCGTGACGTGACACATTGGTTTTTATATAGGTTAGATATAAAGCACAAATGTCTATGTGTCTGTCTGCTTGCCCATTATCTAACTACTACTAGGTCGCTGGGCCAATCTTAACCAAACTTTGTGGGATGATAGTTCGGATCAGGGGGCATGTTTATAGAGGTGCAAAACCCCATTCACCCCCATTATTTCTGTTACTAAATATTCATTATATTTAATATAAGTTAACGTTAACTACATTCATAAATGGCACCACTACCTTACACCAAAAAAAAACTCAAATTTTCTATAACACAACATACACACAGTGTGGGGGAAGGGCACACAAACTTTTTATATATCTCAAAGAGTGCAGTAGCATTCTCTGTAGAGGAATGCAATGAAAAAAATGGCCGCCACTATTGCAATAATACGTAAACGCAGCTAAAGTTTTTACTCCAACAGCCACCATAAGGCTGATATGAAGACTCGTTTCTTGAGTTGTACCCAATTCCTACTTTGACCCTTGTCCTTTCAACTTCGGCTCGTAAAACACTTCTGCGGGAAACGATGTGGAAGGACATTATGAGCTGGGTGTTGAAAGCAGGAAGCAGAAGCATCCCTACCGCCAATATTTGTCAGCTATCTCATCCTACAAAGTCACCCTGACCATCATACAGTATATACCATGTTTTAAATATCTACATATTGAGTTTTTAAAGCTTCTACAAAATCTTTGGTGAGGTAATAATGAATACTGTAATAATACGTTATCAATATATAGTGTGAAAGTTAGGAGTTTTGTTATTTATAATAGCATCCACCCCCCCACATTTTTTAAAGTTCATAACACGGACAAAGAACGAGCTACCTCAGCTTGTGGACTATAAGTTTTTGGAATATAGAAGAATGGTTATTATTTTTGATAATTATTTCGGTTTCCTTTTAAGTATTTGATTTTTATTTTAGTATTATTTAAAACATTATCACGTATTGTAAAAAAGTGTGTTGGATGACTAATATTAAAAATGTTAACAGAAACATACAAATTTAAATTAATAATATGATGTATTTACAGGTGTTCAAGAAAAACTTGGCATCTTGAATGGTGGCGCTGTATACGCTGTGTATGATTACGAAGCTCAAAACCAGGATGAATTGTCTTTTAAAGATGGCGACATGCTCATCGTGTTAAGGAAAGGGGATGAACAAGAGAGAGAATGGTGGTGGGCTCGACTTAAAGATAGAGAAGGTTATATACCTAGAAATCTCCTTGGTGTAAGTGAAATTTCAGTATATGGGTAGATCTATTTTATGAAGTAATTCAAATGGTGATTATGATATTGATAATCATATGATACAACATGGCCTAATGGTTAAGGCGCTATGTGGATCGCGAGTTCGAATCCCGTTACCGAACATGATCGTCCTTATAATGTGACGGGTCATTCCCACTTTTCGTTGGTAAAGAATAACCCAAGAGTTGGCAATGGTTGATGCCTTCTCTATCTATCACTTCTCCATTAGGGAAGGTTAGTGCAGATAGCCCTCAATAAACAAACAAATTTTACAAGAATAATACTTAAAATACAGTGTAAAGTCGTGAATTTTTCTCCTCACCGTTAAAACTGTACTATTTTTAGGGTTATTTTTCTATAAAAACCCTTAAAGTAAGATGGGTAAAATCGCCAGGTGATGATTTTAACCTCTTTTTTTTTTTCACAGTTGATGGGCGAATGAAAGAGTTAATTAGCGGTCAAGCAGTTATAATAGCAGTTAATAATACATTATATGGCTATTGTAAGATGTTTTGGTTGATTTCAGATAAGCAGTCTATCATCACAATTAATTAGTCTAATATAACAGTAAAAACTTGATTGAAATTACAGAATTATAAATTTATAATTAAATATGTTGAATTATTTGGTAGTTGAAATTACCAAGTAGTAAACGTATTGGAATTAAAAGAACAGTGTGTGTCAATCAGTGCGTGCTCGCTCACCTGGAAGGGCACGGCATGGCCAAGTGGTTAGGGCACTCGACTCGCAATCTGCGGGTCGTGGGTTCGAATCCCCGTCACACCAAACATGCTCGCCCTTTCAGCCGTGGGGGCGTTATAATGTGACGGTCAATCCCACTATTCGTTGGTAAAAGAGTAGCCCAAGAGTTGGCGGTGGTTGGTGATGACTAGCTGCCTTCCCTCTAGTTTTA